TTCAGCTGGAGTTTTGTTTGCATGTCGAGTCGATACTTATCTCCTCTTCTTCTTGACGTGCACGCCCATGGGTGTATTCTTAATATAAATAAAAATACGTACGTACATACCGGCCGGCTCGTGGCCACCGCGTCCATCCAACCTGATGGTATTGATGTACTTGTACAAAGCCGTTCAGGGCACCGGTATACAGGTATTTGAAACTGACGCGCGGGCGTTCGGGTGTATGTACGATTCAGCGAGGTGTCGACGGGAGCTGCACCGAGCCTCTACATCTGCATAGTTAGCTAGATACCTGATCAAATACGTGAGTGATGTAGCTCATACCATGCATGTAATCCACAAGTATACGATGGTTGGTACGTGGGCAAAATCAATGTGGATGCATGCACGTGGAGCCCAACCAAGGATTAGCTGGTGCATGCCCGTATGTGTACATCCAAATATCAAACATGGACGTGTAATTTGCACTTAAAGAAAAAACATTTGAATTTAAACTTAGAAATTCTGAAAGCAAGAAACACAAAAACACATCAAACATGGGTATGCAGGGCAGGAGATCTGGCCACTGAAACCAGCCCCGCATGCGGTAGGGCCCAACCTGGTTTTATAGACGTACAATACATGCTGCCACCTACACGGCCACACCACATGCACCCAGCAGCAGCAGCAGCAGTAGGTACCATATTACCCCCCTTGGCCCATTCATTTCATCCATCTACCATCATCCCAACCCAATAATCCAAAAGGATCTTCATCATCTTCACCTCCTAAGCAAAGGCATGCGACTCCAGTGCATTATTAGCTACTCCCTTTGTAAACTAATATAAGAGTGTTTAGATCACTAAAGTAATGATCTAAACGCTTTTATATTAGTTTACGAAGGAAATAGTTAAATCACAGATCCAAGCATGATTAACCACGCAACAGCGTAACACGGTCCACATAATCATTTGCATGCATGTGAACTGCCGGGGACAGCAAACTACCCTTGATCCGTCTCTTCATTTTCATTTTTTTTACAACAAATATGCCATCCACGCTTTTAATTACGTACCCACTCTTCATCCAATGGTCCAATACAAACCACTCCGTGTGCCACCTCAAAATGCAATCCTCTTGAAACAGCCTTTTGTCCCGCTTTACGTATAAAGCACCAACCAAATAAAGTACACGACCGGACGATATAAGATGGAGAGGTGACTCTCTCACAAAGGCGATCCTAAGATAACCAGCACACGCAGTATGCAACCGAAAGAGACAAAGGAAGACAAGAGTACAATGCCACACAACACCCTACTACACCTAAACTCCGCAACAACACCCTCGGGAGGAAGAACGGCGCAAAGTGTCACAGCTGCCGAGTCCTGAACGGACAAAGTTTATTACCCGGAGCCCATCCACGAAGAGGAGCGCCACGATGACGCCTTCAAGAAAAAGCAGCGCCTGCAAGCGTCACCGTCGTCGGCGACAAAGCGCGGGGCATTCGCTCGATCACTCCTCACTTGCTCCAATTTTATTTGAGCAACTCACTTTAACCAAGACCGCCCCGGACACACATGATACACAAAACCACCAAGTACAAATCTCTTTTAGCTTAGCTAACACTGTGCATAAGCAATCAGTAGGCGGACACACGCATGTATCTTGCACATGGCGCCCATGCAACGCAACAACTCACTTTGTAATAATGTAATAATATTTTCTTTTGCAATCCTCATGATTGATCGGATCGCATCGACCCACTGCTCACTGGCAAGTCTCCAACCAAGATCATCAACAAACGATTTTCGTTCCGTTGAGCGTAAAACTACCGGCGGATGGATGATCATCTCTGGATATGATCCTGGATAAACTAATTTGTATGCCAAAAAAAAAATCTCTTACATAGCTTTTTTAAGATGCTACCAGCTGTAATATTCCATCTAGACGCTACGTGTAATATTCAATCTTAGCCGTCCACTGATCAAGGGTGAGCACTTGGCCATAAATATTTCTAGTATATGTAAATATCAATAAATTTATGTAGGCCATAAAATATTATGGTTTCATTTTTTCCCATGCTATTATGTGAGTACTTCGGTTTTGAACCAAAGGTTGAAAAGTGCAAAGAACTTACCAGCATTTTACATTTTACATGAATATTGATTGTACACTACAAAAAAATATCTCTTAGTTTTTCAAATCGACTAACTATTAATATTTCAGAACTGCTGTGCATCATATACTCATTGCATGCTCAGTGGACGATGCTTGATCTAGCGCGTGCGCTCCACCTTGTCCCAACATGCACAGGTGCACCATAGGATCGTCCAAAATCCGGCTGCACATTGTCATGTCTATAGCAGCTATCTTAAAAAAAAATTGTATGAGAAGGTCTAAGACCATATATTAAGTAGCACATGCCCTCACAAACCAACCCATACAGAAAAATAAATATACATTCTAATTCGTGGGGGGAACCGAAGACTTTTTTTCTCTTGCATCCAATGACGGTGCTATATGAGCATAGCTCGATGCCGTCTCTGGGCCTCCATCTCAATGTTGCAGCATTTTCAGCCCAACAGCTTCTCGAAGTAGCAGCTTGGAAGTCGTTGATATAGACCAGAAGATGCAGACGTCCGTGATATGAGATGCAAATCCTTGTCCCTGAGAAGAAAACATCAAGAAGGGCTTGTAGAAACCCAGAAGACCATGAAAGTCGACCGAATCTAGATGGATCTACCGGGAACCTAAACCGACAAGATCTGGGACGACTCTTCGTAACATAGCTCCATACACTCTCTGCCGGTGAAAAACACACCAACGGAATAGAGAAAACATTATTCCTAGAGAGGGATGGCGGCATTTCACCTCCCTAACAAAGAACCTAAGTCGACCTAAGACCTGTCGCACCCAAGGTCGCATCGTGAATCCCACTTATCCGATGACCAGGCTAGGTTAGGTCACACCGAATGTGGCCAACGTGTCGAGCTGAGTCGCCAGCCCGGACCAGCCACCGCAAATTCACGCATGTCAGCGTGCGAAGCATGCGACCTTCCCTGCCATATCGTGCGCTCCTCAAGGGCACCACATCTTGGAAGGACCTCCCCATCGCCACCGGCGTTGCATGGGGTTTGACTAACTATAAACCAAGATCGAAAAAAACTAACGACATGGCTGTGTCATGTAGGAACACCGAGACATGCAAAAATACAAATTAATCAGAAAATTAGCAGTATATATACTCCCTCTCAATGGGAATATAAGTTGGGTTTTTATGTGGGGGGAAATGTGTCATATTATTAAAAATACATATTTTAGATTCATCATTGTATGAAATTTTTAAATACTCTCTCCGTCCGGTGAAAAGTGTATATATAGAAATTTTAGGATAAATTATGGAGTGAAATAAAAAATGCATTGAAAGGATGCAAGACACCATCTCTCTCATCTTTAATTACCCAACCCCCAATGAGCTAAGGGGGTGTTTGTTTCCAGGGACTTTTTTTGTGTAGGGACTAGAAAAAGTCCTTCTTAGAGACTTTTTTACCAAACGGGAGGGACTTTTTAGGGACTAAACTAGGCATTTGGGACTAAATGAAGAAGACTCTCAAGGAGAGTCTTTTTGGGACTTTTTGAGATTTTTTCAACAATGCCCCTCCATGCACCCATTGGCCCGCCACCCCATGGTGTTGTTTGATTTTTTTTATATACTAGGGGCAACATGGTCATTTAATAATCTCTAGGAAGGGACTAGAGACTTTTTAGTCTCTGGAAACAAACGGAAAGAGACTTTTTAGGGACTAGGGACTTTTTAGTTAGGACTAGAAAAAATCCTAGGACTTATGAACCAAACAGGGCCTAAGTGCATGTTGAAATTAAGGAGACCATGTGTAGAATATTATTGGTCTTGATTACCGTATAATGAGAGAGAAACATTTTTTTCTACTTTAAAGTGCATTGAAAAGATAAAAGTACACTTTTTTTGGACAAATTTTAAAGCCAAATGTACTCTTCACCGGACGGAGGGAGTATATACTCTCTCTTCATCACGAATTACTAGTTGCGGAAATGAGGAAGTATATGTTTAGATTCATCGTTTTAAAAAGTTATGACACGACTTTAATTTGCCCCGCCAAATCAAGGAGCAGGAATAGGGGGAAGATATCACATGATACCATGTTTAAAAACTCAAATTTTGATGTTTCAAAAAATACTGAAAAAAACATGATGCGCAGAAGACATGTTCCTACAATCCCTTAAAAGTTCCAATCCAAAATCGAAATATACATGAAAAAAAAGACAAATCCACACGTGAATGGTGACATTTCTGGTTTATTTTTTTGACACTATTCATGCTGAATTTGTATTTTGAATTTGAATCTGAATTTTTAGGGCTAGTAAACACATGTCTTGTTAACAATCACAACTTTTCTTAGAATTTTTTGAAACATGTAAATTTGGTTTTTGTGACATGGTATCATGTGATGGTTGGTACCCGTAGGAGTAGCATGTGTGTCTGGCAAAGGTAAAAACCAAAGAAGCACACGTCCACACATGGGCAGCAGCATCTCGGCAGGATACCCGTCCCTTTTGACCGGATGGCCGCAAACCAACACGCGCACGGACGGCGCCACGCCGATTTCGAGGCCAAGCATGCGCCTCCTAGCCGCATGCCTACAGTATTTTGTTGCCTTGTGTAGGAGTAGTAGAATTTCTCTGGTTGTGATGCCATCTGACGATCTGACCCATCGTCTCGATCCCCTCATCCCTCCCTCCATGGTCAAGACCTCACCTTGGAATGGGGACCCTCATCGGAAAAAGAAGAGTAATTTTCACAAGGAGGGATGGATAATTAGGCGGAGGAATCCTCCTCCTCCCCTATATAAAGGAAAGGGGCATCCATCCTCCTCTGCCTAACTCCTCCAGCACACACACAACACAAGCAAGAGAGAGCCTGCCTCTTGAACTAAAACAGAGCATCCAAGAGGCAGAGGCACAAACGAAGAAAGAATAAGATGGCGCTCCTCCTTGTACTGGTCGGTGTTGTGGCCGGCGTTGTGCTAGCGAGCAGTCTGCTGCTGCGCTGGAACGAGGTGAGGTACGGCAACGGCCGGAGGAGGCATGGCGATGGCTGCTTGCCGCCGGGGACAATGGGCTGGCCGCTCTTCGGCGAGACCACGGAGTTCCTCAAGCAGGGGCCGGCCTTCATGAAGCAGAGGAGGCTCAGGTGCGTAGCTAGCGGGCATATGATTATGCATTCTTGCTTGCGTCTTCTTCCCCGGATTAGCTAGCTCGTGTGTCTTCGCCGGGATTTGGGGGATTTTGTTGGAGATCAAGTTGGTTGTGTTGTGTTGTGTTGTGTTGTGGAGAACTCAACTAGAGAATAGAGATGGTTACTTACATGCTATTGGTCTCTCCAATAATAGAGAGAGAACCACTCGCTCTATTTTTGCCGCTCTGGCTCCCTCTTACCTCCTATTTTCATATGAAAGATAAGAGTATATAATATATCTAAGTCGTTGGTCTCATTAATTAGTGGTCTGATTAAGTCTTATCTTCTTACCTCACATGTAAAAAAATAGGATAAGAGGAAGTATGTTAAAATTTGCCTTATTATTTGTAGTTTCTTCTAAATTTGTTACTACTACTATTAATTAGCAGACCCTTCTTTTTAAATAGATTTTTCAGTAATTATACTACTCCTAAAAGTTGCTCCTCCCTACACGAATCGATGAGCTACGGAAATGTGCCGGTTTGGCAGCTGCTTTCCGGCTGTGCAAAGTGACGGGGAGAGCTGTGTCCCCCTAAAGCTCACAAACAACACACGCTCATCACTGCTCCAGCTCCCAAAGTACCATTCCGGATGTAAATTATTATGACACAGATCAAAAGAGAAACATCCCCATCATTGCCCTCCACTGTTTTTTCCAGAGAGAAAACTGAAATATTACTGCTCGTGCATAATGAATGAATAAAAAAGAACAGAGGATGTTAGCATAATCCCATGCCTAATCACAGTGTTTGCTTGCATGCTTGCCATCGAAAAACACATCAAATATATTACCGCTGCTAGCATAAGCTTATTTGATTGAAACTACCGAGGAATTAACATGTGTGTGCGCTGCTGCAGGTACGGGAGGCTGTTCAGGACCCACATCCTGGGCTGCCCCACGGTGGTGTGCATGGACCCGGAGCTCAACCGCCGGATGCTGCTGCAGGGCGAGTCCGGCGGCCTCGTCCCCGGCTACCCGCAGTCCATGCTCGACATCCTCGGCCGCAACAACATTGCCGCCGTGCACGGCCCGCTCCACCGCGTCATGCGCGGCGCCATGCTCGGCCTCGTCCGCCCCGCCGCGCTCCGCACCAGCCTCCTCCCCAAGATCGACGCCTTCATGCGCGACCATCTCCATGGCTGGGCCGGCAGCGTCGTCGATGTCCAGGCCAAGACCAAGGAGGTCAGTGCAGTCCCTTCAATCAAATCTACTAACGCGTAGAGCCGTAGGGTACACAGGCCACCTTTACCGTACATGTAGATGTAGAGGCAGCTGGGTGGCATGTTGGAGTACGTTAATGGCAGCAACTACTTCCATCTTAATTCTCTGTGCAGCAAAGATTAGTTCACTCACTGCTTTGCTATGAAAAAACGGCTAGTTTGAAAATAGAATCTCAAAGCTTGATGTTTTGCAAAATCGGTCCACGGTTTGGGGGATATAATACATGCAGCTGTTCGTGTCAACTGAGAATTTTTTGTTCAAATACATTTCGTTTGTTAATTGTTTTGCTTATACTAGCTGTTGGACTCCAGATGGATCAGTGATAAAAATAGCCTTGTTGCAGCAACAGCATCACTCTACACATTCCAAAGTGGTTGTTGCAGAGTTTCATAGTATCCCACTGCAAAAACAGAGTATCACATTTGGAGACATCATCATTACCCGTTTCCGTTTGCCGCTTTTGTGGTGGTTGCAGAGTTTCATAGAAGCATCTTCTGCTTGCATGGGCATGGCAACAACATATCACAGAATCTTATGTCCTCATCATATCTAACTGACTTTCACTTTCCATTTTAGATGGCCTTGCTATCTGCACTCCGGCAGATTGCCGGCATCACAGCAGGCCCACTCTCCGACGCCCTCAAGACGGAGCTGTACACGCTTGTGCTCGGCACCATCTCCTTGCCCATCAACATTCCGGGGACCAGCTACTACCAGGGCTTCCAGGCTAGGAAGAAACTTGTGTCCATGCTAGAGCAAATGATCGCGGAACGGCGATTGTCTGGTGACGCTCACGATGACATGCTGGATGCTCTCTTGAGAAGCGGCGATGATGGGACCAGGGAAAAGCTCAGCGACGAGCAGATCATTGACTTGCTCATCGCCCTCATCTACTCTGGGTACGAAACCATGTCGACGACTTCGATGATGGCCGTCAAGTACCTATCGGAACATCCGCGGGCCCTCGACGAACTCAGGGTATGTACTATGTACACATAATCTGGAAATCAATTTTGATTCCTTGAAGAAAGTCCATGTGCTTCTGGACTTTACTGACGACATTTTCACTTGTGAATGCAGAGAGAGCATCTTGATATCAGGAAGGGGAAATCGCCGGAGGAAGCAATCAGCTACGAAGATTTTAAGTCCATGGCCTTCACTCGAGCTGTAAGTAGTAGTAGGAGATAAAATGCAAAAATTTAAGTCAGAGTAGGAAATTTAATATAAGTATGAACTGATGGATATACCATGCAGGTCATTTTTGAGACGCTAAGATTAGCCACAGTTGTGAATGGGCTGCTGAGGAAAACTACTCAGGATGTAGAAATGAATGGTGAGTTGTGCTTGGAATTTACTCTGCTACTGAAGCATTCCCCTGCCAAATATTAGTTCATTTCTAATGCGATATGTTATCGATTTCTTCCAGGGTATGTCATTCCGCAAGGCTGGAGAATCTATGTTTACACGAGGGAGATAAACTACGATCCGTTCATGTATCCTGACCCAATGACCTTCAATCCATGGAGGTGGCTGGTAAGTAAGAGAGCGAACAAATATGACCGTCAAAATATCACTAAAACATACCGCCTTGGCCCTAGCAGAAGAAGTTCTAACCTATTGTTGCCTACTGAAAATGAACAGGAGAAGAACATGGAATCGCACCCGCACTTCATGTTGTTCGGAGGAGGCGGGCGGATGTGCCCTGGGAAGGAGGTGGGCACGGCAGAGATCGCGACTTTCCTCCACTACTTTGTGACCCGATATAGGTCTGTTCAACCTCTTCTTAGTCCACACCGATTCCATTTCCAGAATTATTTACTGACAGGTACTTGGCATTGGCTTTGATTTTTCAGATGGGAGGAAGAAGGCAAGAACACGATCTTGAAATTCCCCCGGGTGGAGGCTCCCAACGGGTTACATATCCGAGTTCAAGATTACTGATCTTGGAACATACATTTTGCAGAGTTTAGGTAGATAGGGCCCAGACTGAGACGACAAGAGTGCAATTTTGCGCCGATGGAAAGATTAGATCAGCCTTGTAAGAAATAGGAAACATACGTATAGTGTAGGTATTATAGGTTCAGTAGGCACTTGACGTAGAAGGCCACAAGAGGCAACTTCTTCATCTTTGTGATCAATTACATATGCATGATAAGCATCGCTATATATGTGATATGTGACTTGAATCTGATAAGCGGAAATACATATATGTGTATATCTGGTGTCTTGAATCTGATGATAAGCAGCACCATATCTATCATCTATTTAAGAAGTTGCTCCCCATTATTGGACGAGACTTGCCTGCTCCCTTTCCGTGCTCCCGCATACGTGGCTTGATTTGATTGGAACAAAATAAGGCCCGGCCCCACCCCTTTAAAATCAGGGGGAAGGGGGAGATGATTAGATTAGAAAGGAAAAAGGAAAAAAAGACAACCGTAGGATGAGTTGAGAGCACGGATGGGAACATGAAGAGGGAGCAGGCAAGTCGGATCCCCCATTATTCCCTATTCTTTCACCATACACACTGTCCACATCAGCGATGTGCCACGTCATCCCTATTATAGTATTTCTCTTACATGCGCATTATCCACATCAGTGGCCCATGCATGTACGTATAATCTCAGGAAGTTTGTTCTCTCGGGCCGTTGGCTGCATGGGAGGTGAATAAATGGGCAATATTTACGTGACCGGGCTAATTAGGCCTTCAAAATTCGGAAGACAGACAAACAGGTTGGCCTCCTCCACAGATTGAAGGTGTCTTCTCCCCTTCCATTCTTGACCCACTTCCCTTCCATGTGTATATACTAGACCATGACGGCGCGTGTTACTGCGCCCGTCCTTTATGTAAATATAGGCATCTTGATGCATCAAAGTTATGATGAACTTTTTTTTATTTACAATATAGAATGCATGTACTTGTTCTGGGGAGAATAATATAGATGAAATTTTCTTTATTTACAATAAAAGAATATTGATATCTTAGGAGGATAATATAGATGGACTTTTCTTAGGAGGACAATATGACAAATACAATTGTAACGATTAGCTACTGAACCCCGAGGACGTAATTCTGTTCTAATATGATAGAACTTTTAGTTGCATCACCACAATATTAATTGTAATCTTAGAAGAGAAGGATAGCGAGCTCGTTCTACAAATAGTATGTGGGATATGAAATTACTGAAATTAGCATTTGGTTCTAGGCAACTAAGGTCTTGATGATGGCACGAAGTTGGAAGCTCACCAAAATATTTGAGAGAGGACGAGGGGAATGCGGCTCAACCCATTGTTCCCGTCCAATCTTGCATGAGAATCTTGTATGGTTGTTTAAGTAGATATCCATGATTAGGTACATATGAATCTTTCTTAAGCATGGAGAGAGAACTGGATGAGATCCAAGTGCATGTATTAGCTAGCTACAGTGACATTCTTTGCCACTCTTTTATATGTAAATCTCCTTGCAGAACTCATGACCTTAAATCTCTGCAACTTTAGTTGGTCATCATGCACTAAAACAATATGAATGCTAGAGTGTATCAGGTGAAACAGACCAAATATTCAAGAACTCTTAAATCTCAGAAATAGTTACAGCAGACATCATCATTATTTAGTACAAAGTATCCACAATCTGAACACAAAATAAAGCAAATTGGTATAGGCCACTATATGAGCAGGGCATGGTAACTCCAGACGCAGCTAAAAAATCACCATTGAGAAACTGGATTTAATGGAATAACATGTTTTTGAGGATCCTGGCGTAAAACTTGAGATAGTTCTTCATGTTCCTTCATGCTTTTATTTTTCACATTGAAAATTGCCCTGCATCATTTTTTCTGTTTCTTTGTAAAGTTGTGCCGAAAATTAAATGACCTTAAATGGAAGAAGGTGCATATATGTTACCTGAACTTCTCGGACAACAAAATATATTTCTTCTCAGGAAGGTGTCTCTTTTCCTTGTCCTGATATCAGCCTAGTAGCTACACACTTTAGTAGAGGAAAAGTAATTGGATTTTATACCTAAACAAGGGAAAACTTCAGGTGAGATTGTTTTATCTAAAATAAAACGATAAACATATTTTCCCCTAACCAAGTTCTGATTTTCTCCTTTTATATACGTTTTAGGGTAATTATCTTCACCAACCTTTTGCAAAAGGAAATAAAATTATCAAATACTTTTGTTGTAACGCAAATGCCATGTGAATTATCCACAAAAATATAAATGAGAAAATTTGGTGAGTGAGCAGCTGGCTATAAAACGGTAAGTAGCAAGTACATATTTTTCAGGTCAGTCCTCACAAAAAACAAAAATCTAGCATAAAAGTCTGCACAAAGTTTCTTTGTAGCTCAGGCTACATGGAACCTCTTATCCTCAACCCTCCAGCCTTGCTTTGAGATCCGTACTCTCCAACTAACTAACTAACAACAAGATTTCTCTTTTTTGTTTCTCGAAAATGAAACAACATATGAACTTCAAACTTTGCATACCGAACAAACATTAGAACATCAATGTGTGAAAAAACTTTCAGATTTTTTGGTCTGATATAAATATACAAAATGAGATTTTCTTTGAATAAAAATATTATTTCAAGTATTTAAAATACATGAAAAAATCTGAAAGTTTTTTCCTATATTGTAGTTAGAATGTATTGTTGTTCTGCAAAATTTGAAGTTCATAAGTTGTGTCGTTTGAGAGAAACAAAAAAGACAAATGTGTTTGCACGGATCTTGATGCATAAATGGATGGCAAAGATAAGGGGTACCGTGTAGCCTGAGCTACAGAAAACCACACTCGTCAAAAGTCTGCAAGTTGATCCATGTTAGTGAGAATATGCAAGAAATCAAAGAGGCCACATTAATCAGTTGGACTGACATAGGTTTCCCTCTAACTTGTAAAAATCTAACCATTCGGTTCACCATCACCTGCAGATGACTCACAGACATACAAAGTTAAATGAGATATGAAAACATCTTGGACAAAGTTAGACAAAAAATTAGTTGCAAACAATGCAATACTACTCCTTCCTTGTTCTTGCCTTTCCTGATGTCAGTCCAACTGATTAGTTGCAAACAACTTTAACAAAGTTACACAGAAAACTTAGTTGCAAAGAATAAAGTACTACTTCCTTTTCCCATTGCCTTGCCTTGATGGTCGGCTCTTAAACCCAGTGATTCATTTGTATATTTATAGCAGCTGATATTACACCCTAGAAATATACATATGTTATCTCTTTTTTTCTTCTCAATACAACAACCAGATGAAGCAATCTATGAACATTGTGAGGAGGAAGTCTAGCGCACAGATGGACGCGGCCGGTGTCGTGTTGAACACGCCAACAAGGGGCAAACGGGCTGTGGCGGCGCTGATCCGCGATGGTTAGAGGGAGAGAGGGAGGGGGGAGAGGAGGGAGGGAGAGAGAAAGATCATGTGCGCAACAGATCTCACCTATAGGGGGAGGCACTTCACCGCCACCGCCGCCTGTGGTGCTATAGATCTCACCCGAAAGGGGGCGCTTCACCGCTGCCGCCGCCCAAGCACGATTAGGATGTGGAGGCGCTGGGAGAGAGAAGTCGAAACAAAGGGAAGGAGGGGCGTCGAGTGAAGGGAGACGGGCGTTGTTTCCTCGTGAGTTTTCAATGGGCTTCCTGCGAGAACGAGGCCAATTAACCTTGTGACTGCAATTTTGTTGCGGGAGCAGCTGCCCCAGCTCGTTGGCGATCCTTATTAGCGAACGGATCTAATCTGATTAGGCCTGATTCATAGCTAATCTAACGATCAGGAAGGCTCAAAAGTGATGATCAGACGGTTGGCAACGCTGGTGGCCTGAGAGGGCTGGAAAAGTGCTCCATTATAATGTATCTAAATGTTCACTTTCTCTCCATGTCCCTCCCATGCCTCCTCCCTCACAAGATCACCGCCTCCATTCCTGCCATTGCTGTTGTCTCCTCATGATTGTAGGCAGGACAGAGCTCTTGCTATCCTTCCTGTGTTGGCATTCGTCTCGGATCCATTCCATAGTTTCCGTGGGAAGGAGCAATCGATGCCCCCAATCATCATGGATTCATCTATGATGCTGTAGGCCAAACCCCATTGATATTGCCCCTTTCGCGTCCCTCTACCATGGCAGCAGATGTTTCTTCTCCATCAATACCCATCTATGTCAGCGCATATGGCTCCTTCATATGCTTTTTTCCTCTTTTTCTGATAGTATATTCCATATGCATGCTACATGCGGATCTATCAATGGAGAAAAATCAAACAAAGGTTGTGCATGTGCTTTTTATTACGTCAAGGTTGTGCATGTTCTTAATTACACTGACCTCCCGTGTTTTGTTTAAAAAAATTAGCAGCCGATGCGTTCTATTGTACAATTTTATTTTATTCAACCAGCAAGACTTCCTACTAATTAGATGCTTGCAGAATGCCTCAACAACCTAATAAATTTCTTAGGAAGTAGTAAGATTTATATATTACTCCCTTCCCTAGAATGTTATGAGTTAGCTATTAGCTATTGCTATTTGGTAGAGTTTGAACCTGCCTAATATAGTAATATGTCACCCGCAAAAAAAAGGAATATGTGACCGCGAGTAATCCACGGTGACCACAATTTCAGAAATTGAACATGCTGCCTCGCAAGCAAATTTTTGCGGTTGGCTACTTATGGCTGATACCGGTGGTATGGATGGAAAAAAATATCTCTATTTAAGTGGTTCGCAGTTTTTCTTTGCATATTGCTTCTACCCTAATCAATAAACCACATTAGTCATTGCCTAGGATACTACCTAACATCACCCAAAAAAATCCCCCTAATTCGGAAAACATTCATACTATGCAGATATTGATGTGAATTATATCCCTCATCGATTTTTATCTATAACCTATCATATTGTTAGTCGAACTACTCTTATTCACTACATGTAAATTGATCTAATACATTGCTATG